GGAACCAAGGGTTGCTGAATTATTTCATTATTCCCTTACTCCGGTCAGTTCCAAATTGTTCTCTCTCAGACAAAGTATGGGCACAATTCTGGGAACAATATTCTCCAGAGAATGATCACAAAAGCCATTGTGGTTGGAACTGCATCAGGTTTGCTTCTTCCACTCTCCAGTTGACTCCCTTCGTTCTTTACAATCCTTCAACTTTATTGCAGCAAATTTTGCCCCTCGAATATCTCATAAACCACATCCCAGGACATATATAGCCTCGGTTCCGTGCTATAAAAACACTCAGGAGGGCTATTTCATGCCTTTGCATTATTTCAGCCACAGTGGCGCCGCAAGAGGCCCAGAGGAGACATCCAGACATACAGTACGGATGCAGCCAGCCTGCTCTAATACCAGAACTGTGCGAGTAATTACACTGAGGGCATGAGACAACCCCTGCCACTTGCTGTTGGGATCTCTGGGAAGCAGTTGCTTATATGAGTCGCAATTTAGAAACATGCCCTGAGTAGAATCACATTCCTAAAGAGCAGCACAGACACCACACAGGAATCCTGCCACAGACACCAGCATGAGCCTTGCAGAGAAAATGTGAAGAAACCTCAACCAAAGGTATTGCACCTGGGATATGTTACAGATGTCTGGTCCATTCAGGTGAGTTATGCTGATCTCACAATTCTTCCAACCTCACTCAGTTCAGTTTCAAAGGATCTCCCTCTCCCTTGTCTTTCCAGCAACACAAGTAGATTGGAATAGGCTCTTCATCTTCAACATCAAACATGTGCCTGCACTGCTCGGGAAACTTGAACAGGCTTTGGTAAAGCAATTTGACTGCCTAATCTAGGATTTCTACAGCACTACTAGCAGTAACAATAACTACTGATAATAATATAAGAACATATAAGAACATTCAGAATAATCTAGACCATGACTCCAGGAAACAGATATTTTACAACATATTTTACCTGAACCAGTACTCACTACACATAACTGAGATTGTGATCTGCATCACAATCACTTGCCACAAATGATGATGATTTTAAACAGACTATCAGACATCATAAAACAGCATCAATAGAGAACATCTTCATCCATCAATATCTAAGCAGCAGGTCTTAGTGATAAATCAGAAAAAATGTGGATTAGCTAGGCTGGAGAAAAAAACCACGGTAATACAGTCCTTCAACATAAATGAGAATTTAGGAGAAACAAGTCTTGAAACTCATATACGTGATATTAAAATGTGTCAGTAAGACAACACCTGACTTTCTTACAGATCACAGAAAACAAGAGACATCAAAAAACCTTGTATAGCACCATGTTCCAGACATATTTTGCATTTCACCTTTGAACTCAGTTTGCATACAGAGAAGCACAGACGCAAAAATACTTACCCAAAGGTAAGCAAGGAAGCAAACAAAAGAATTCCTCTCAGCTTATAAAACATATAACTTCATAAAAGAGTGAGTCTCTGTAATGAATGAGATCAAAGATCCTGCTAGCCTGCTACCTCTGACAGTGGCCAAAGCTCTTTTAAAGAATGAAGGACACAACAGGTAAATGCATAAATCATCAAGAGGCGGATAAACTCTAACCAGTACTGACAAAATGGATGACAGAAGGTTATACCTGCCTACGGGTATTAGCCTGAGGAAATGATGTTTTATTGTTTTTTTAATTATGTTGTCATTTTTTTTTTTTCTCTAACTAACTGATTTTTAATTAAGATATCCGGAACTTGTTATTGGAGAGTTGTGCATTAGGGAACAATGGTTCCCAGAAACTGCCTCTTGTTCTTGAGAAAAAACAGAGAATAAGAGGTGGCCTAGTTCCTGGATTAAGTAAGGGAACTGCAGACCCAAAGCAGTGAAATTACAGGAAAAGAGGAAATGTTCCAGCAGAAGAAAGCTCTTGAAATTATTAAATCTCAAAGAACAATCCCCAATCCACTATGAGCTAAACTCATATGCTAAAATTAATGTTTGACATCCAAGAAGTACAGTGACTGCCCTTCTAATAATGGGGTTGGATGGCATATGTGGAAGTGAACATGAAAAGTTATTAAAAAAAAAAAAAGTGAAAAAGTACTATAAAATAACAAAATATGCTAGAAGAAAAGAACTAATCACACAAACATACTCAGCACAGATGAACCTCTGAACTGGTGTGGATCAGTTTGTAATTAAACAATATATGAGACATCAGTTAATTCAAATAAAAGTGGCTGAATATTCTGCTGGTATTTGACATATATACCTAGGATAAACGCATTGTTGAAAATTCAATCCAGAAAAAATGGCTTTAGTTTCAGTTTTATTAATCAAGTTCATTTAAGTCGTGAGGACTCCTTTTGAGAGGAGAAAATTCCAGGGAGATTTCTGGGTGAGAACATTTCTAAACAAGTTAAGACAGACACAAGATATAACAAGATAAACAGACATCATCATAAACCCTGCTATTTGATTATACTCAGGAGAAATATTATAAAACACTGTCAACTGGATATTCCAGAGCTTTCTTATCTTCAGAATTTGCCATTAATAAGATATCATCATCTTTAGTATGTTATTCTGGAAACTTACTTAGAGGTAATAAGCAGGAAATTTGACATTATTTTCAACATCATCCTCCGTAATTATTTCTAAGTCATAGCATAAAAATATTTTTCCACTTCATGATTTGTGCAGCTTGTGCTCTTGTGCACACTCTGATGACTCAAAATTTCAATAGGCCCTCATGACATTAATTTTTTTCAATGTTTTATGTGCAGCTGAGGCTGCAGGGCCATACATTCCAGGAATATCTGTAGCATCATATTAAGAACCATTAAGTCAAATCACATGCAAAATCAGCATATACAAATTAAGTTTTTAAATGTCTATGCCAAGTCCTATACTTTAGGATTGAAGAAGATTTAATTTGCAATAGTTGAAGATTAGCTGTCATTCCTCTTTTGTGTCTTGTTCCAGTAACAACCACTTCTTTGGTTTTAATCACAAGTAACTTTTCCTTATTTTGAAAGTATTTTACCCGCTCATTAAATGCCAGCCTCTGCCTCTCATGAGCTAGTAATTTGAAGCAAGTATTTTCTTACTTTGGCTTACCATGTAGCACTTTATACAACAGCATTCTGTCTTTAATAAGAATTTGAGGGTATTCTGGCACTTGCTTTGCTTTAGTTTTCCTGGGTGACCACGTTTAAATAGGCTTCAGATAGCAGAATAGATGTTTTCAACTTTCAGAGTTCTTAATGCAACAGAACTAGGTGAGAATTTTTGAGCTAGAGATCCAGCTGGAGTACAAGTGCTCCTGAAAAGACAGGACGTCTGCAGGAAACCAGGAGATTGTCCAAAGATGTCAAGGACAATGATTTGCAATAATGCACTTAAAAACAGGAAGCTATGTGAGTACAAAAACTGCGAGGGGGAAACAAAACAAAACAGGATAAGCCTTGTTGAGGTATGTTGTATGCATATAGGATAGCAGTTGTATATAACTGGAGCTACATAGAGGAACGAGGACTAAAGTGGCAGGAAAAGTTGTAGAAGGTGTGCAAGATAAACAAGACATAGACAGTATGAACCAGATAAATGCAGGAGAATTTGGGGAAGAAACTTTACAAGGCCACTAGTACCTAGGTGATCATATCAGTAATCCTATATAAAAACTCAGTTTGCCCAAGTAATAGTATCAAAACCACCAAATTTCTGTGCAGATGTAGCAAAATCAGGACCAATAAAGAAAAAAAAATAAGGCTGGATCATTTATTTTGGAGGGGATTGGGCAGAGAAAGGGAAGCACACATGATTTCTAGAAGATTTGGTATGAGAGAGTAGAGCAATGACAGATAGAATTGCACCCCAACAATAAGCGAGGGTGATAGCATTGTAATTGTGTGTAGTTAATATGACTTAAGAGTGAAAAACTCAAAAATTTCTATAGGGTGAGAAATCGTGGAATTGTACATTAATAAAAGTGATGTAATCATTAGATAGGTCATTTAATGGATTTATTAGATTATTAATAGTGGGATGATTAACCAATAAATTCTATAGCCTCTCATGTCAAGCCTGTGGTCAAAAGGAGAACAATCAGGCCTTTAGGTAACAGCTGATCTCTCACCCCTGGGTCCTCAAAAGGACATTTTGAGATTATATGTTTTAGTCCATAAGAGCTACAAACTTTGGCGGTGAGTTTTACTACTGATTTCACAAACTTAACAGCTATAAATTGATGAAGTAGCCAAATCTTTAACCAGATCACTTTCAATTCATGGACTCCAGGACTCAGGTAAACCTGTAGAATTTTCTCATATATGAGAACATATGTAAATGCTTAACACTCACGCATTGCTTTATTTTGGAGTGAGTTTACACTGGATACAGCACAATTCATGACTTTCTTCTTTTAGAGCCTTTTCTGCACTTGTTTAGCACAATACCCATTGGGCCTTTGCCGTCTCTCTCTTTTCTCCAGCAGTGAGCCAGGGCAATGCCCACACAGCCCCTCTGAGTCACGTTTCCACGATAGCAGCTTTACAGAAAGGGTTTTTGTTGCTGTTTTGTGGGTTTTTTAGACCCTTCTTGGTGATCCACACCATCTCTCCCCAGGCCTGCCTGTCATCGGCAGCACTCCCTGTGAGGCTGCAAGCAGGTGGGCTGTTTCCACTGCTACTGCTGGTGACTGCCAAGCGTAGATGTTCAAAAATTGAGAGAAAGGAGAAAAAGAAGAAAGGAAGGAGGGAGAGAAATGATGAGAGGAGGGAGAGAAAGGAAAGGAGAGAAAGGAGAGAGAAGGAGACAAGGAAGGGGAGGAAGAGAGATAGAGAGATGGAGTGAAAGAGACAACAGTCTGCACACAAATGAGTTTATTTCATTAGCTTTTATTTTTAAGAGACAGCCCCGACCCTTTGTGCTCTGCCCATGCAGGGGCCGGGCCCTGCACCTCCCTGAGGGCCAGCCGGGCCGGCGGGCTCGGGCCTCACGACCCCCGGCGCACGGCGGGGGTCGTTCCGCCGAGGAGGAGCCTGATCCCTGGGATACCCCAAGGCTCCCGAGCAGGACCCCGGAGGTCCTCGAGGCCTCAAGGCCCCGCCATGGGCGGCGAGGCGGAGCACGGGCGGGCGGTGGTTGGTGTCCAAGGAGACCGAGCGCACGCCGAGCCCGCCCGCCGCCCGCCCTCCTTCCCGCCGGGCCGCCGCCGCCATGATGATGCTGGGCCGCGGGCTGGACGCCAGGTAACGGCGGCCTGAGGGAGGCAGGGGCGGCTCTGGGGGGCCTGTGGCGGCAAGGAGGAGGAGGAGGAGAAGGAGGAGAGGAAGGCTCCGTTGGGCCTAAGCAGGCGGGTCCCGGTGCCAGGGTGTGGGGTTGGGGATCCGTGGGGCCGGCCCGAGCCCCCAAATTGGAGGAGGGGGTCGGCTGCTGCCCTCAGCCGCCTCACGGAGCGCCGGTCGCTGGTGTACAGGGCGGAGGGGTGAATAATTTGGGGATTTTTGTCGTAGTGTGGAAGAACAAACCCTCTTTTCAGCGGTCTGATAGACTGCTTGCTCTGAAGCAACATATCTGGGTTTTTGCCCATAACAACTTTTTTTTGTAAAATATTTTTTCCTGCAGAATTCCTGAGGAGTGGTGTTCGTTTGACTGCATTGCTGTTAAGTCTTAAAGTATTAAATTGCTTCCCATTCTTCTGCTTTTCATGCGTTGCGATACAAAGATTCTCTAATACCTTTACAGATTTCCCTTCTGTTGCCTGATTTCTCCAACCACTGACTTGTTTCTGTAGATTACAGGCGCTTGCAGGAAGCTGTCTAATCCTGCCTTCTTTGAGACCTGCAGATTTTGGTAGTGTTATGTTAGTAATTAACCCTAACGGTAACGAGCTTTTGCTAAACCACAATATGAAGACTTCTGAGGTGATTTTTGTGATTCATGTTTTCCCCTATTGGATCTTTAAGTATAAATCCTACGTTTTTGTTATTGTTACTTATATTAGCACATGGTATATTAGACCACTAGGACTCTTATCTTTATCTTTTTAAAAGTAGGTTTGTTTTGCGCTAAAATGAGATGTTTAAGTCACTTACAAATTATCCACAATGTAATTATATGGGTTTTATGCTGTGTGTGTTGTAAACATTTTTCCCCTTCTTATTTTTCATTTTCTTTGGTATCTAGGGACAATCAGACTAGACAAATACAAGATGCCGTTTCAAATGTGGAAAAACATTTTGGTGAATTGTGCCAAATATTTGCTGGATATGTACGTAAAACTGCCAGACTACGAGACAAAGCAGATCTTCTAGTAAATGAAATATATGCATATGCAGCCACAGAGACACCAAACTTAAAAGTTGGACTGAAAAACTTTGCAGATGAATTTTCCAGACTTCAGGATTATCGCCAGGCAGAGGTACAAAATTAAAGCTGTACATGTTGTGTTTGCCATCTGAACTCTTCAGTTACTTATCTGTGATTAAAAGGGGTAAAATACGCTCTGTAATCTTAAGAGAAGCATGGAAGAAATCACTTTTAAATGTATCAGTGGCAGAGCGGGATAGGTTGCCAAATCATTCATGGTTTACTCTGCTAATAACTTTAGTGAAAACTGCCTGCAATTAACCCTGTTGAAGTCAGTGAAAGTATGCACATGAATGCTTACGGAATTTGAGAACAGGGCAAGCCATTTATCAGTCTCGCATTCCGGATTACAATTTACGGTTAATAAAGTGTTTTGGTTTTAGTTTCATGACTTGAGTTGTGTAGCAACATTTTCCTTTTGCTGAATCTGTTACCAGAAGCAGTGTGGAAGAGAATTGTTCACAGGGCACTCTGAGAGCCAGTCTCTGGTGCTGTCAGGGACCACAGTTGATTTCTGTAAAGTTGCTTTTCAACACTTCAAGAACAGACTTGATGTGGATGTTTGTCAACATGGCCATTCATAGTTTTGAGAAGCTAAGAAGCGTTATAATTATGTATACAAAAGGAAAAGAGACTGAAGTGTTTGACATTCTTGATGTTTTCACTCCTTTTTTCAAAAAAGGAAACAGTTCCACTCTTTCTATATTAACAAACATAAATTAAGACTTTTAAATTAACTTAATCTATTAACTATCTAGTTTATTAAAGAGAGAAAATAACCATGTGTCTTTCACATTGTACTTAGGGATGGATATTTAGGAAGTAATACGAAATCCAAGGATGTGGATAGTGTGGGGTTTTTGTTGTTTTTTCATAAGCTTTTATGCTTCTGGCTCCAACTGAACCACAAGTAAGCCATTATGCTTTAATGGATAAATTGCTATCATACCGATCTGTTAATAGGGCAAATTTATATAATGGCTGAGGATATATATGAAGTTGTAAAGCATGATCCCTTAATCTATTTTCACCTTTAAATGATTACTGTATTTTCAGTCAATGTTAGGTACCTATGCAACAATTTGAGTTTGCATCTTTACATTTCTAAGTGCGTTTTTACAATCTGGCAGTTGGCCTAAATCCTCCTACTGTGCCTGTCCTCAAACCACCACCGCGCTTTAAATGAAGAAAGGCAGAGGAAGAAATAAGAGCTTTTAGCCATTAAATCAAGTTCTCATTTGCTCATGGAAACCAGCTCAGCAATCTTTGTCCTGTTTCTTTTGTGCATCACAGTAACACTTTCCATATGCATTAACAATGTAGGCAAGAGAAAATCCGGTTTCAAAGGATTTTCCATTTCTGGTCTTCAGCTGCAGTGCTCTGTATGTAAATGTGAGGTTCTTACACAACAGGTGGAAGCATAAGCAAGCGAGATGGGCAGATTGTTTGGTATGTCTACGTTGTGTACTTCATTTAGAGACTCTTCTGCTATCCCACTGGTAGTTTAAATTACATTGTTTGACAGTGCACAGGTAGAGTGGAGTAAAGGAGGTATGTTTGCACAGCCAACATAGATTTTGGCTGAAGACATTCCTAATGCATCTAGTGACTGGTAAATGAACCATCTCCTGTTTCTGCATATCACACGTGCAGATGATTTTAGTGACCTTGTGTTTTCTTTTGTAGGTTGACAGGCTTGAAGCCAAAGTTGTTGAACCTCTGAAGAGTTATGGGACCATAGTGAAACTTAAACGGGTAGGTTAAGCATGTGTTTTCTCTCAGACTCTGGCCACTCAGTTAAAATTTCTACTCTGCACTGGGGGAGTGGTTGTGATTTTTCATATTGCATTAACCAGTGTAAATAAAAAATTATATGAGGATACATCTGGACTGAAGCTATCTATGTGTTGGAGGAAAAAGCTTTGATGTGAGGTCAAGGATATTCAGATTACTTGAGCCCAAGCAAAGACTTTGGAAAAAAATATGGGTAGTGTGAATGAAGCTTCCTGGATAGTGCAAATTCAGGTGGAAGATGTTTTCTATATAAATACTGTCATATTTTTTTTAAATCTTAATATTTTTATTCACAGTTCCAAAAGATGGATTACGTGTAATGCTTTTGGCTCTTAGTCATCTGTATGCTGCCCTTAACAGCTTTTCTAAATTAGAATTGTGCACGGAAGTCTGTTACATAGAAAACTCTTTCTGAAACTGAATAAATAACAAAAATAGGAAATAGGTAGTGGCGTGAATCTTGTCACCGTTGTGTGGAGTCATCAGGATGACCTGAAAAATCAAAAATAAGTGAATTCTCTTTATTCTGGAAATAGTGTAGCCATAAAATGGCTGTAAAGTTCTTTCCTCTGGGAAGGACAGCTCGTTTTCCTTGAATAAGTAAATTTTAATAAGCACATACCTAGCTTATGGGATTAAAGTAAGTTCTTTCTAGTATTTGTATACTAGATATATTACATAGAGGTTACCTTCATCCTGTAAACAATCTATAATTGACATGTATATCTTTATCATAGTCTGTATAAATAGAAAAGGATCAACATTTGATGGTATTTTAGGTACAAAAAAATCTTAGTGTGCTTCATCATATTTAATCTGAGCACACTGTGGCATTTTATCTCAAGCTGTAGTATTTTTCATAGGTTTTTGTTCTTTTTCATATGGTGAAGAAGTGAGCACAGTGATTCCTTCACTGCCTAGCTATCCAGCTTGGTTGGTAGAGAAACAGTTGTGAAGGATACTTCCTGCACCTGTGTGGTACTGCTTGTGGTCTGTAGGAAAGTTGTAGACTACAGTGAGAGACATGTGACATGCAGAACACCACGGGGTGCTCTGCACATCCGAAGCATTGAAATCCTGCCCTCAGGTGTCCTGCATTGCCACTGGTAGCCTGTAAATGCTGAGGACAGCACCAACTGAAGCCAGGTCATGCCTCAGAACAATGAATGGCATTTCCTGTTGTCTTTGCCATTCAGAATGCTAGAAACTATGACATGATGTTTGTCTTAGCTACAGTGAGGCGTCCAAGAGCATTCCTGAGCTGTAAGTGGGGTTAACAATTACAGCAACGCACCTTTGAACTAAGAGACACTTTGCTGAAGATGTAGGCCATGCTTTTGTTTTTCTTCCTGCCCATTACTCTAAACTTTGGTTAAAACCTGAGCCGGCTGGTCTTCTATCATCCAACAGTGGGACATTTATTAGTGAAAAAATGAAGTTTTATTACATAAAACTAGGTGCAGGACTGCTTTTTACGTTCACTGCTCAAGTAAATGAGTCACAACATATCATTATGGCACTTCGTAAGAAGGGGATGTTCTTGTTGGATGTGTTCCACGGTATACACAAACTACTTTCATGCTGTATCTTAAAAAGAAGTGTTGCTATTTCCTAAGGTGCTGTTTGCTTTAAAGAGGTCCAGGTCAACTAGAATGCATTTGTCCTTTAGCTGCTAAAGCAGTAAAATTGTTTGAATTGCATGTTTATGCGTTTATAATGTTGAGTATCTCTTTGGGGAAGGTTTTGGCAGCCTCAGTGGAATTTAATGTAGTATTGGCTTGTAATACAGCTTCAGTATAGGATTTTAGGATTTGTTTCTGTTTCTTTGTTCTACACATCAATCTTCATTTTCTGCTTTTTGGCAATTCTGTTCCTGGTTCCTTTTCTCTGTATAAAACAGGACATCCTAAAATCAAGGTGCTCCACCTGCAGAAGAAAGGACTGGTTTGCTTTAATAACCTCACTGACTAAAGCAGGTAACAGTACAGTGGCGAGGATCTGCCAGCTCATCGTCTGGTGGCTGTAGCTGTACTTCTGACTGGTTTGAAATGAGATGGCTGAACAGAGTGACTTAAATGCATAGTTTAAAGCCAGTGGAACTATGAGCAATTTAATATTCTCTGTATTCAACCTGTATCTCCCTGGCAATTACATTCCATCCCATTTCTCCTTGGATGTAATTAAAGCATGTTTTCCAAAAGCACATCCAGTCTTAGTCTGAAGACACTGGGGGAGAACGTAGGACTGTTTGGGGTATTTAGTTAGAGGTTCATTGATGTTTGTGGTGTTTTGTTGTAAATGAAAGATTTCTCATAATCTTTGGTGTTTATGTTCCACTAAGATTAAAGAGCTCTATGATACCTTGTTTTCTTCTGGGTGAAGGTATTTAGATGCTAGTAAAACTATTTTTTCATTCTTTTCAGTTAGCTAAACATCTCAACTCCCAATTCTTTCACCATAATGACATCTTCCCCAGCTTTTGAATATTTCTATGGCTCTTTCTGCACCCTTTTCAATTTTCCTACATCCAGGATAAAATATGTATGTAACTGTGCCCTACCTTTGTATATCCAAAACGTCTATAAAGCTGTGCCACAGCAGCACCACATCTTTGTCAGTCTCTGGTAAGCACAAAGAGGCGTATCTGGTACCTGTTCGTGCTGCAGAGAACAGAGGTAGAGAAGGGAACAGTGCAGTCCTGTAGGCATTTCCAAAGCTATTATATGCTAAAAAAAAAAGTACTGAATTTTATAATGGTAACTAATGGTTTCTTCACCATTCTTAAGTCTGCTTTGGAGCGAGGTCAGAGCCCTTTGAGCCTAGTGTTAATTCGGAGTGGCTGGTGTAAATGGGCCAAGGCAGTTGGTGCTGGTATCAGGGCTCACTCATTACATAACACCAAGCATTCAGCTGTGATTATGAGATACGAAACGGCTGTGTTCTGTGGCAAAAATACACTTCTTTTGCCTATTCTCTTTCTGTACCTTTAATTTGAAATGTAGACCTTTAAAAATATATTTATTATTGCTTTTCTTGCAGCTGCATGGTTTTCATAAAGGAGAAAGCCCTTTCCAGCAGTCTTTCAGATGACCCAAAAGGTGCTGTAACTTCCCTTTTGCACAAAGAGAAGCAAAATTAGTTTTGATAGTCTAAAGTTGTGGTTGTTTTTTATTATCACAGACCAGCTTTGCGTCCCTAAAGTTAAAGCAAACTAACAGGACATACATGAGGACATACGAACAGGCAGGAAGGATAAAAACTAAGAATAAACTGCTTATTGTGATGCTGACCTCATTACAGACTCATTGAAGAAACACACAGCACTTTGAGACTTGGCAGGCTTGTTTTTGTCATTGACTAGTGACCTGGTCACAGGATCCCAGAACTTTGAAAGAGAAATGTTCCTGGTTGCAGGTCTTCCAGGCCAAGAGGAGACCTGCAACCATGATAAAATTCTGGAATCCCAGGAAGGAGCACAGACAACTTCCTGAGACAATAGATTTAAGAGTATTAGGACACTTCTACTCCATTCTGGAGGGGTAGATAAATGCAAAGTGTACTTTTTAAAGGAACTGATGGCCTGAAATGTCCATCCACTGGCTGCCTCGGGTAGATTTGGTTAGACTGATTCTTTTGGGTTGTCTGTTTGTCTTAAGGTACAGTTCCTTTAAATTAGGGTCACCAAAATTAGTGACATCTCTTATACCAGGGCAGTGGAATGATACGTATCTGACTGAAAATTGTAGTTTCCATGTATGCCAAACTGTTTGCAAAACAGACTTTTATAGCACAAACAAGAATTTCAAAGCTGTATGTAAGCATTCTGAAATAATCATGTATCTTATATCCTGCTTCTCCCTCAGAAATGAAGAGCAGAAATATTTATCAGCAGCGTGTGCCTTCCCTATATCAGTGTTTCTTCTTCAGCTACATCATTACTTGGATGTATTTTGTTCCAAATGTATTTAAACACCTATCTCGCTGCATGTGGAACTATGCAGTTGAACCCTTTCAGACATGGATTTTCTAGGGTATCTTAAGCTCTTTGTAATGGTTTTCTGTTCTTAATTTCTCCTGTTTGTTTTTTTCCTTACTGATTTGTTAGATATTGCTTTTTAGTTCTGGATGCCAACTTTAGTCCATTGCTGAACTAGAATAGCCCTGTCTTCTTACTGCTTTGGGGGTCTCAGCTTTTGACTACGTACTGTACTTTTTCTGAAAAGCTGCAAAATTCTTTTTCTCCACTTTTTAAATTGTACTGTGTGCTACAGAGAGTTATGCAAGGCACTAAACTCTCGTGGTCCCCACTGCCTTGTCTTCTAGGGGATCATTTAACAGGGTAAGATCAGTAAAATCTGGTTTTGTTCAAAGCAGAAGTTTTGTTCATGTTTTCTAGGCAATCCCTGTATGACGAAAAATGCATTTCATGTTTTCCTAGATCTATTTCATACATATCTAAACCATTTTATTTCTAGGATGATCTTAAAGCAACTTTAACAGCAAAGAATCGAGAAGCCAAGCAGTTATCTCAACTGGAAAAGACGCGTCAGCGGAACCCGTCAGATCGACACATCATTGTATCCTGCATTTCTAGTGACTATAAGAAATATTTCTAAAATGTTATGGCAATTGTATTTAGAAAGCAGTAGAAAATTGCTTTTCAGAGGGACTATTTCAAATAATATTAGAGAGACTATGTTGATTTTGAATGTAAGTAGCTTTTTGTAAACTTTGTGATAACGAGGTAAAGGTTATGATAGCTGCTTTGTTACCTAACTCCATTTTGACTGAAAAGACACTGTGAAGTATTTGATACGTTCATGCCAGAGAGGTAGTCATAGATTACATCTAAGATATTGGCAGGTTTTGAAAGTAAGTGGAATCAGACACCTCTTTCACTTCTGTGGATTTTTATTGTTATATTTACATTTGCCCTTTTGGTGGTTGTGCTTCCTTGTACCTAGACAGGGTGCAAATTTGTGTGATGGGAAAAGTTGTAATTCTGCTGGAAGAATACTCAACCAGACTACTTTTCCTCTCAAGAGATTGGTGACCCTCCCCAGTATATTATTCTGTATCACAGAGGGAAAAATTAAGCTTCTGCAAAATTTCCATTAAAACATCATTGATGTTTCAAATTCTGAAACAATCAGCTTTTAGGAAATGACAATTTCCTAATCCTTTGGGGCAATCCTAGTTCAGTCCCCTTGTGCCTTTATATTATGATTCAGCATTTAAGTTCATGACCACATGCTGTTTATTTTTTCTTACACCCCGGGGTTGGACTCAGGATTGCATAGTGAAGCAGTGCTATTCTTTGTAGGATTTCATCAACTTTATTTCAGAAATGATGATCTTTCTAGCAAGCGGGGCATGGGACAGCAGAAAAAGAGAAATGATTGTGATGGTCAAACGCCACCCAGGAGAATTGCATTCTATTTTTCCCTTCTGCTGAAGAATTTCTATTTATTACTAATCAAATCAGTTAAATCAAGTGATGACTAATCAGAGTTCCTCAGGAGATAAGGACACGTGCGTCAGCTGTGGGGTTGGAATTTGAGCTGTGATGCAGAGTTCTCTTCCAGCAGGATTAAGGAAGTAAATCTTAGCAGTAACATATTATCCCCGCAGGGAAGCTGTTCCCTGTTTTCCTTCCTCTTGCACTAATTCCTAGTTGATTTCACATACATATTGCTGGCACTTCACTTGTTTCTTCTTGTCTCTTTGCTAAGCTTCTTCCAAACACCCTTCCATGGCCTAGCTTCTTGTAACACCTGTGGGTTTTGTACTTAAAACTTTGCCTAAAAACTTAAGTCTGAGTAGAGCCTATTTTTGGCTATGCCCAGAGGCATGTGCCTTCCAAACACTGTGTGTTTGCATTTAAAGTGATCAGCACAAAATACTGGGAATCAGGAAGACATCGTGCAACTTTCTTCCTGGCCCAAGGCAAGCCTCACAGGCTCAGCACTATAAACATTCTTTGCCTTGGGATAGAAAAGAACAGTACAACAGAGTAAGCTAAGTGTCAGACGACTGGTAAAGAAATGCTTAAAAACCAGGGGGATAGTACAGCTTTGCAAATAAAACCTTCTCAGATGTGTATATATGTATCTTTTAATATAAAAATGATATTTTTAAATAGTTTTCCTTCTGAAATGATCTACCTAGGTTGTCTGAATAAAAAAAAAAAAAAAAAAAAAAAAAAATAACCAAAATGTAAGTCCAAGACAAACAGCTGTCCTGTTTATACAAAAGTCATGATAAATTGTATGACTTGTAACAGGAAGCTTCAGACAACATAATAGTAACATCCTCCAAGTACACAGAAGTTCTCAAATATCTCAGGTAAATATTTCACAATGTATAGTAATTGGAAGTAGAAGCAGGTACTTTTATGAATATTTATTATTTTACCATTTGTTTCCTTTACTAGTATTTCCAGTCACAGGTGAGTGCTTCAGAAGAGGCAGTTCTAAACTGCTGCTGTACAAACTGTGCAGGTTCTGCGAGTTTAAACATTTCACTCTACAGCAAACAGAATTCCTTTCCCAAATCATCTGCGCACATCTGGCCAGTCTAAGATGGATCAAGAAGATATATTTGATTATCATAGAAATAACGTAGTGTGTTTGCATGTGTAATGGCTGCTCATGCATAACAGCTGCCTTCTTTTACTGAGAGTGAGTGATTGCAGTAATTGGGAAAACACAATATGTCTTTTTTTTACTCTGTTTACCTCCTGTGCTTTGGACAAAATCAAGGAAAGGAGATGAGTACGTGACCTGATGGAATACATTCAATGCAATACTGTCCTGGGCTACATCAAATGAAGCGTGGCCAGCACAGTCACAGGAGGTGATTCTCTGCTGTGATGTGACCCCAACCTGGAGCACTGTGTTCAGCTCTGAGGCCCCCAGCATAAGAAGGATGGGGACCTGTTAAAGCAGGTCCAGAGGAGGCCATGAAGATGCTCAGAGGGCTGGAGCACCTCTCCTGTGAAGACAGGCTGAGGGAGCTGGGGTTGTTGGGCCTGGAAGGCTCTGGGCAGACCTCCTGCAGCTTTCCAGTACCTCAAAGGGGCCTACAGGAAAGCTGGGGAGGGACTCTTTGTCAGGGAGCGTAGGGATAAGACAAGGGGGAATGGTTTTAAACTAAAAAAGGGGAGATTTCGATTAGATATTAGGAAGAAATTCTTTACTGTGAGGGTAGTGAGGTACTGGAACAGGTTGCCTGGTTAAGTTGTCGTTATTGAACAATCCCTGGAAGGGTTTAGGGCCAAGCTGGATGGGGCTTTCGGCTACCTGATCTAGCGGGTGGCATCCCTGCCTATGGCGAGGGCGTGGGGCTGGAACTAGGAGGTTTTTAAGGTGCCTTCCAACCCAATCCATTTTATGATCACTACCAATTTTATTTGTCAAGTAATGGTAGAATTTTATGTGTGCAGACTTAAGGTACTTGTTTCAAGTTGATAAACCTGTAATAAAAGGTTAGCAGATTTTAAAGAAAAAAGTGACAGAACGTGCATGTGTTTTTGATAGATACATAACAGTGACACCAGATTGTGGGAACTGGGCCGGTGATGTCTTATTTCCATGGCAGATCACTCAATTTAAAAAAAAAAAAAAAAGTTCCTCTGAAGATATAGTATTGGAGAAATTGGAAGAGTCCTATTCTTCCCAATGGGAAGTCTTGATGATAGGACACAACTGGTTAATCCATATACCATTTCCAAATCCCTGGACAGAATAGATTCCTGATGATACTCTCAGGAAAGTAAAGACTGTAAGTAAAGGCTGTCTTGAGTAGTCCATGATGTTTGACCGGTAACTTATGGAAAATAAGTGCAAGCTGTTAGATCTTTACATATTTTTTTTGTAATATTACACAGTTCTAAGACTTGAAGGTACTTATCCAGAATAGTTCAAAATATAATTATTTAAATGGTACTGCACGTTTTATGAAGTTCACTTATATCTAATTAAAATACACATCCTAAATGCTTTTTGTAGTAACACAATAAGAGGAACTGTATTTATGCATTAGTTCTTGGCTTGTGTGATCTTTTCTAACTGCCCAGTTGAATATATTTTTATAAAATAATTATATAAAATACATTTTGTATTAAAGATACACATGAAATGCTTTTTAACCTAAAAAATATATTGGCTCTAGTCTACGGATTGAGATACTTATGGGAGAAGTGCATTAGTTCCAGCTTGCTGCCTTTACTGTCTAAAGAATTTATAAAACCTTAGACAAGGTTCCGTGTGTGGCACTGGAAGAGATTTGTTCTAGACACAACAGGTTGATCTGCACTGAAAAATAAAGGGTAATATTGTCTGCTTTTCCAGCAATCTGGCCTGTGCATTCCTGTCTTCTCCTTTATTATTAGCTCTAAAAAATTACCTTTTTGTGAAGTGTAATCCCTTGGGGGTTTACCGATCTGGGCTTAACTCCCTGAGCCCAGTCAGTGTGTGGTCAGATCATGTCTGGGCTGGATTTGCAGAATTAGCAGACAAGCATTTAGAAAATGGGTAGGGCAGTGAGACTTTCCTGATTGCCTGGAGCTAGTCATTTCTCATGTTTCAGATCAAAACCACAACACTATAGAAGACATCTTTATTAAGCTACAAAAACATTTACGGATACAGTAATCCAGAAATGTAGTATTTTGAAAACCCGGATTCAAAGGTTTCAGTGCAATTAGATAGCAAATAGCTTTGTATCAAATACAGAACTAATTTCACCTTTGTGTTCCTTTACCAGGCTGAAAGTGAATTGCAGAGAGCTTCGCTGGACGCAACTCGAACAACTCGGCAATTAGAGGAAACAATTGATAATTTTGAGAAACAGAAAATAAAGGACATAAAAGTAGGTGTGCTTATGTTTCAGTATATAACATCATCTTCATCTTGCATAACAGTTTATTATAGTTACTCTTCAGCAAGATTAAGCAACAGTTAATTTATGCTTACATAAATACAAAGCTTGTGATATTGACTATTTCATAATCCAAACATCCTGAGCTTTGCAATTTGAAAATCAGTTCATTATTTTTACAGGTTCTCAAATTCCAAATTTTTATATATTAGATGGTGTAGTATCTGCAGTTTCCAACAGTTGCTGTATTCTACTTAACTGGTAGCTGCATTTCGTAGTAGAATGATGTGTGGATTAATATCAGCAAGATTAACAGAAATAGTGAAAAGTAAATAATATTTGTGCCAGAATTTGTGCAGGTTACTGCAGTGCAGAAACCATCAAACACTTAGTGACTGCAAATACAAAGCTTTCATTTCTCTCAATCTCAAACGTCAAGTGGCTCAAGTCCCAAAAACTACAGTAATTGAAAAACATTTAAATTATGTGATCTCAAATTCAATTATAAAAGTGAGAGTTTTTATTGCAAAAAAAAAAAAGACTAAATTAGAAAGAATGGTGAATGGGAATAGGAGAGATTGTTGGGAAAAAAAAAAAAGAAACAGCCAGTATTTGATGTTAGATTAATACGAAAAAGATTGGGTGAGTTCTGAACATATCAATAAAAGCTTTTATATGTCTTTTATTACAAACCAAAAAAACACATAACTATCTGTAAATTATAAATATGTATGAAGTTTACAGTTAATCTTTCCCCATAAGTTAAAAAGATACCTATCAATAAAGAAAAAGTTCCCTGGCATTTCAAGTAGAATGTACTCTATAGCATTAAGAAAACTTTGTTCTTATTTGTTTTTAGAACATATTTTCTGAATTTATAACCATTGAAATGTTATTCCATGGGAAAGCTTTAGAGATTTATACTGCTGCCTACCAAAATATCCAAAATATTGATGAAAACGAAGATTTAGAGGTAAGAGTAATTAAAGATTTGCTTTTCAGTTTACTTACTACATAAAGACAGTTTTCATACTTCAGTGGCATACATGTCCCATGCAACATTACTTTTCAGGTTCCCAGAACAAGCTTCTCATTCACACTAAGCCCTTTTTTGCATTTATCCAATAAAATAAAGGTCCACAGGTTTATAAACTGTGCGATTTTAGAAGCAGACAAGAACCATGGTGACCATCTAATCATTCTCACAAAGACAGATAAGAGACTTCTAAATTAATTGCCATTCCAAGCTCAGCTAGTCCCAGTTCTTAAAGAACACTTCTGCAGTGAATCTTGCTGTAAAGATGCACAGTAAGACAGAATGTTATACTGCTCTGATAAGATCATCTAAAGACTAATTACTCCATTAAAAATCTCTATCTTCTTTCTGTTCTGAGTTCTGTTTTCTTTTTTCATCTTGCAGTTGTTATTTTTCATTACGCTGTATGCCATAGCAATCTTGTACTGCTGTAGTTTCACAATTAAAAGGGCATGTGACACCACTTCAGAAATATCCCTTAAGTCAGTATTTTACCTTTCACAGCCAGGTTTCTGGTTTCATTTTAGAGTTCTTGCTGATTTGACAAGATACGCTTTCCATACAAATACTGACTTACCATAATTCTACTCTCCTCCTTCACATTATTATAAGGTCCTGCATGAATAGTTCGATTATTTTTAGTATCAGGCTGATAGTCCTACGATTTACTCTTTTTGGCTGTTGGAAAGAACTTGTCAGTATAATGGATACCACGTTCTCCCCTGTGTTCTAAGGGTTTTCCAAAATAGTTCTTGAGCTGCAGATCACTTGAACATTTCAGACAAAATTCCTGACATAGCTGTGACTGGTAGCAAGGATTTGCTTGTGAAGGGGCCAAGAGTTCATCTTCCCAAGAACTGGAGAGCCTAAGGTGGAGCTGCTGCAGTTTATAGCTCTAGCTCTGGGTTAGCCTGAAGCTCAGCTCTGTATTTTGATGGGAAACCACTGCAGCTTTTCACTTGTGAATCCCCTCAGATATCTGAAGAATGTTTACATTGACCACATAAATGTTTTGATAATGTCTTAGGTTGAGCAAGGATGTTATTTCAGCTAAAAGCAATCACTCCAAACTACAGCTGGTGCATCTATCTAGAGCAGGGCTAATTGCCCAATGCTGAGTTTTTGTTAGCTTCAGTCTTGGTGAGGGTATTATGACACCAAAGTAACAGCTTTCTTCATTTGAACAGGTTTTTCGGAGCTCGCTTTACCCACCAGACTACCAGTCTCGCTTAGACATAGTTCGTGCAAATTCAAAGTCCCCCTTGCAAAGAACCGGCTCCTTAAAATCTTCATTGAAGACAGTACAGGTAAGAAAGAAAGATTAAATACCAGCTCACTATATTTATTAAAAGAATGTCTTAAGGAAAACCTTAGCTAATGGAAATGAGTCTGCTCTCTTCAGTGAATTCAGGACAAAGTGATTTCCAGTGATACCATTTCTTTCATTAGTGAACTCTGGCATCTTGTACAGCAAAGATCTAGGAGCTTCTTGGGAACAGAAGTGCTGTTCTTTAAGTAATATTTCCATTTTCTTAGTCACAGTGGATTCTCTACCACATGGTGACTCAGATTAGCGATACCTCCTACAACGAAGCAAAACACTGACCTACACACCTTCAAATTCAAAGCAGGTGAAGGAACAGGAAGATGATTTAAAAAAAGGCAAAACAGCAAACAGTGTTACTGCTTTTGACCTAGCTACCTTGCAAAAATATATGACTGTTTGCAGCAGTAAGCTTACAGACATCATCACAAAATGACTGAATTTTTTCTTCATTACAGCTTTAATCATGTAACTGAGGTGATTCTTTAGCAGTGGTTCAATTACCGAGATGGCCAGATATAAAACGTACGCATCCCATCTTCCTTCTCTGGATGCACTGGTATTGTACCAGTAGAAAGTTTTCTTCACTTTGTATATTACCCCTTCTCTGCTCTCAACACTTAAAGGATCATTACAGTTGAGTTACTCTGTTAATGAAAGTGTGAGTCATGCCATCTGAAAAGATAAAAGAATCCCGTATTTCAGGGCATGGAGACCAATATTAGCATTAAGATTCCCTACCTCTTTACCAAACAACCAAATTTCAGGTATTTCAGATTCGTGGGTTGTGTTTTGGTTTGTTTCTCCAGAAAGTATTTAACCATTCATTTTCTGAAGCCCAGAGAGAGCCGTCAGAAATCCGTTGCCACATTCCTTGAGAATTCCCTGTGGTACCATAAAACTGTCTCAGTGTTACGGAAGTATTTGTAATTACTTCAAGGTGCCACAGCTAGCTGTATTTTGGGACTGTCTTTAGAAAAACAGAAATCTCAATGTATGTATGCTCAGAGGTGGTGTGGGCTCCATTTTAACTAACTTGCAAGTTTACCTCTCTTTCAGCTATATAATTTAGGTGTTCATGTTCTCTTAACCTATTAATGAAATATCTGAGAGAAATGAGACCTATGGGGAAACAATGCCATCTTACTGTGCTAGGCAACGGATCCAGAGCAGGGGTGGAGTGCCTGAATGCAGTCACTAGAGGGCAGTAAAAAGACGCAGACACCTTGTTGGGCACCCACACACACCGTTACCCTTTTTGGTTCTGCAATTAGTATGTTTGCATCAGAACCGTGGGTTACACTAGGAGCTGCAGTCTCTTAAACCCACCTCCAAACATTCACTAGCAAAAAACGCTGCTTTCAGCAGAGCCTTCAGGTGAGTGGTTTTATCTTTCTGGGGATCTTCCATTCCCAAAGTTTTCACATCTGTTTGATTCATGCACCATAACAATCTTTTACTGCCTACATAAAGCAGTAGTTTGGAATTTTCGATTTAAAGCAGTATAAATTGTACTGGTAAACAGTTTGCAGAACAACACAGAGTAAGGCTGCAGGAAGGGGAGAAAAAACAACCTGTAGAGGGGAAAAAATACTGCATATCAGATAGACAAATACTGTATTATGTAATTCATCCTTCCAGAGGATTCAGCTCATGCCATCCTAGAACAAGTTTCTGGTTCTTTCCAGTAGTTCTCCATGTCAGAAATCTGAAGTACTCCTTGAGCTGGATTCACTTTGGAAAAGTACCACCTCCTTTTAAAATTCTAGTGCCTTGATTTGATGTCTAACTTAGTCAGGCAACAGGATAATTTGACATGTGTCCCATCACTTACAGGATGGCTGCCCATTATGAGTAGACCTTTTCAGACGTTTTAAAATATTTTTTTAAAACAGGAGTATTACAGATATTTAGTTTTACACAAGTGCTGAAAAGGCTATTTAAGTTTTCATAAAAATCCGTAGTGAATCCCTGCATTTTGCCCTTTCATCAGCAGTTTTTCTCTAGTTTTCATTGTCTTGATTCAGATTGGTTTGCTGTATTTTAGACATAACTATTAGCAGAAAATAATGCCTTCTTCTAGGTACTTTCTTCAGATTTAGCTACAAGGGTTTTAGGCACATGCATTTAACTGTTTTGCACCTGTTCTTCTAGGGCAGAAAAATACTTTAACCATGGCTGAAACTGTACGAAGCAAGGTGTTCCAACACCATCCACTATGTAAGACATGAAGAGAGAATGGCAGGAGTAGAAAATTGCCATGCTTTCTGTAGCACAAGCAGTGAAGCATGCAGCTGAACAGCATGAGCAGGGACAGCCATCACCTACATGGAAACTTAGGAGCATTCATTTTCACATAAAATAGCTTAGGACAAGAAACAACAAATTATCAAGTTCCATTACATTTCTTAAAAGCCAATTAATTTTTCAGGTGCTGGTACGTATCTAGCTTTATGGCAAAAATAACATGCGTTTAAACTGCCTCATTTCCTTTCTCATTTTCCTTACTCTGATCCATTCTGGTTCTCAGGTTAGCCACCAGCTTACTTCCATCAGTGAAAGTATTTAGTTTGCTCTTTATTTAATTACAGAGTGGTCAGAGATACTCGACCAGCGAGTAGAAAGAGCCTTAAACCCCAAATGAGCACCTCATATTCCAAGAGAGGGGAAGTTTTTATTCAGAAATACGATTGAAGCTCTCAAGAATTTCAGATGCTCTTAAATAGAGGAGGAAAAAAAGAGGGGGAAGAAAAAAAAAAAGGAATTTGGAAGATTAGTCTGCTGAAATGAAGCTACCTTACCAGGCTCAATTTGCAGCACTCCTTTATCTTCAATTCCAAATCAGTGTCATTGTCTCTGTCTTCTTTCCCAGAACGAATTGCTGCATTAGGCATTTACTCTCAAGTTAACCCAGTTCCATCTAATGATTAACTCCATTTTCTGTTACGCTCAAAAATTTGCAACCGAGTATTTGCTTAAAGCTGAATCATGTATTTCGTGAGCATCAACACCACTAAGGATTCTTCTGCTTTCGTTAGTTCACTAATTACACAGTTTGCTTTATGCACACACCAAGTTTTTTTGTTATGTACATAGCTGTATAAATTAAGAGATCTCACAAGTTAGAATTTAATAACCAGTTTTTAAGAACTTTTAAAATAGGGGGTTGAAAATAAAAGGCAAGTTTTGTCTTCAGTACTGAAGTTTGTGTATGTAGCTGCATGTGAGAAAACTCAGGAAACATTAGAGCTGCAGATGCCCTCAGAGAACTGCTGAACCCAAAATCATTTTTGAAAAGCATTCTAGATGATTCAGATAGCTGTCTTTCTTGAGTTTAATGTTCCTTTTTTTTCAGGGGGGAAAAAAGGTATTCTACTTTAAATTGTAAATGTTTCATCTTATATGAATACTCTCTCTTCAATAGGAATTAGAGCTCTCATTAGAAGAAAGTACTGATGGCAGAGCCTTTCAGATAAGATGAAAGCTGAGCAGCTGGCATTTTATTATTATTTTTTAATATTTGATGAACCAAAAAAGGACTGAAGTTACCATTCTGAAGGGCAAGCACAGGTGGTCAGGGAAACAAGTTCATATATAAACCAAGACTTCTGGTAAAGTCTCTAATTTATTCTCAGGAACAGTTTAGAGCAGCACAGTGTTGAGCTTTTCATTTAACTGAAGAGGTTTGATGTCTTCAAGATAAGATTATGCCTTAACATTCACCTTCAACCTGCCGTCTAGGGAGCCAGCCAGCAAAAACCTAACACCCTGTTGCTTTTTAACATTAATTCAATTACTGCATAGCTTTCCCTGCCATGTAATAGCTTTCAGGAGTATGGGGATTTTTAGCTTTCAAGATTCATTTACTGATTTTCTGGTTGGTGTTCTGTTACCTTTCTGTTGGCATGGTGCACTTTACCATAAATTGCAGGATTAAGGGATAAAGACCACCACCAAGCATCCAACGAACAAGACTTGAAATGCCAACAGAGACGTTTTCCTTCCAGCATTAGATACATACTTGATTTACTTTTGTTGAATTTTCCTCTTAGATTTCCAACAGCATGCCAAGGAAAGAGGAGGACGAAGAAGAGGAAGAAGATGATGAAGATGATGATGATGAGGAAGAACTTTAGATGCTACAAAGAGATGTAACAAAACTGTTCTGAATGTCTTTTTTTCTTAACTGACTGGAAAACAGAAAAGACTTCCCTTTACCTAAAGGCTTTTATGTATTAATTACAATATTAAAAACTTCCCTGAGGTTGTATTTTTTTAAATTCCATCAGGAGCAAGAATTGCTACTAATAGTAGTGTATTCTACAGACAACAAATGACCAGTTTCAAAGAAGTGGAATTAGGTTTGCTGCAAGTGGACAATTTCAGCAGCTAGGAAATGAAAACTGTAAATAGTATCTTCTATTAGATATGCATAGGTGCTATATTGCAGTCACAGTTGCTTAAACTTACATGACAAATGACATTGAAAAACTGCACGAAGCTGACAAGCAGTTATGAACGTAAGGGTTTTGCTTGTTATTTTGCCAATATATTGCTACATTCTGTAGCTACACACCTCTCTGTTCAGTAAATCCTCTAGTGGTACCTGTCCTAACTGGTTTTATCCATCCTAAAGTAACAATCCTGTTACATTTCATTTCATTTTGTTACACACCCTGGATTACAGAAAGCAGAGCAGGGCATATTGTTCTCTCATTATTTTCCTGAGACTTGTCTAAGATGACTTTTGATTTCTTTACACATGCACAATGAAGCATTAACTATTAAGGGCCTAGCCCAGGATCTTGTTTTAATACTGCATTGCTTTTAAATAAAAGTGCCTTCATACTAAAATTAGATAATATTTTATATAACTGACATTTATTATGAATTGACATTCTGTATATATAGTTTGTTTCCTGTGTTTATTTGGTTGATTCAGTTATCATTTCCATCCAATGCATCAGAAATTACACATTTTTGAGTGTAATTTCCAGGTCTAGTATCTGCTAAATGTGTACGATTTTCATTACTACAAAAAACAAAAACATTTTTAAAGGTTTTTGAGATGTTAAGCACATGTATAAAGCCAGAATTTAAACCTGTAACTGGGAAAACAGTTTCAAGTTATAAGCAAATACTCTCAGTTAAGGAAATAAACCATAAAATGATTTTTTTAATATTGATGCTGTGTGTGTTCACTGATGCAAAGCATGCAACACAATTGTTTTAACAGGTGAGAAAACAGGTTTTGCCAAAAATTAACATGAGGAAAATAGAAGTGAAAATGTCAGTATAGAGGGCTCTGGTTTAAACCCAGGAAATAGTTTTACTGGATGAATTATGTACTATCATCACTTACCTATTGTTGACAAGAAGCAGAATGCTAATGACCAGAAATAGCAATGACCAGAATTGGTAATTACCAGAATTTAGCAGAATGCTAAAATGTATTTAGGAAACAAATTCCCCTCTATTTCAGCACGTAGGGCACTTAGATAGATACTGGTATCATTACTGATCATCACCACTTTCCCATTTCATATTCTGTCAAGTCATGTAGTCCACGTCCTAAACAGCTGGTTCATTTGATGCCTTTACCAGTATGCTCTAGGTATGTGTGAATAGGAATTATTTCTGTACTGTGTTTTGAAAAAGGGATTCTTAGTAAAGAATGAAATAGTGTTTACATCACCTCCCCACTAAAAGATCGGTTTTAAGATACAGAAAGGGTTTTTCTTTCCTGAGCAGCTTCTGTACCTCATAAGAAGTTTACTTTAAGACTTACAGAAAGGGAGAAATATCAGCGTCAGGCAACTTTGTTCTCCTACACATATGTCTTAAGTTTGAATGTTGGACAGAAACTTTGTGAGCTAGAAACTATGGACAAAAAAGCCAATACATGAGTTAATGCGTTTTAAAACCACAAGAATTCAGACTGTAGCTACAGAATGAAACATTACCTAAAGATACTTTCGCAAAGATTATTCTGATGGATTAAGTGCTTACTTCAAGACTCAGTACTCCCTTTGTTCATGCACATTTTTGTCCCGACACCTAGATGATGCAGGCTCTTATGAAGAGGTTTTTTTCAGACTGTCATAAGTTACGGCTTTCCTGAATGCCTCCAGCTGCTTCCTGTGTGATCAGTATTACTAGTTTTTGAAGCCACAGACTGTTCTTTAAATACAATTTTTGGACAATGGTAGCAAAAGCAACCGCAGATTAATGTAACTAAGGCAACTAGATGGATTCCAGATCAACAGCACAAACTGCAGCATTTCCTTTGTTCTTTTACTGGATGGATGGTGCTTAAAAAGGAAGCGCAATAATTCACGCCGTGTAATTACAGACTGCTGTCACTGATGTGTCCTTTACTCTGAGTGCCTCCAAAGCTTAAACATCTGAACTATTTGCAGCAGGGAACGCTATCAATCACCACACCATGCACTTGTACCAGCCTATGCAAGCAGAGACAGAATTCAATGCAAACTAGATATACACGTCCCAGTTAAAAACAAAAATACTAACTGGAAAATGGGTAAAAACTGAGAATCAACTACCCTATTAACCTTACTAACTGATGTATTGGCATCCTTCTCTAATTTCCCTGTGCTTCAGATCATTTACACATCCTTTGAAGCAGAGCTTTTTACATATCTCATAGAAATTAATCTGGTCCTATCAATTAGATGTTTCATAGATTAACCTAGAGCAGTCATAAACTCACATCTGTAATTTAAGATTAAGTAGCTACAGGGCAAATAAGGAACACTTTAAAATACCTTAATTAAGGTCTCTGCCATTATAAGCTTTGGGACTCTTTTCATGTATCCACTAGGGTAAAAAAAATAAAAAAAATAATAAAAAAATTACCATTCCCCAAATTAATAGTTCTTTGTCAGCAATTACTCAAAATTTCTTGAGAGCAGACAATGCCCTTGGAGTAGGCTTTTCTCAAAACAATCTCACACCTAACCAACGAATGACCCACTAAATTACCTTGTCCTTCCAGTCCCCAAATCCTGCTTCTTACAAAAATGCGTGTATGTGCACCTGTGCATGGAACAATGCTACTCTAGAGGCACGGTAAAAAAATTACCGATTTATATTCAGGATTTGACAACCCCTATTTTGGTGTTTTTAAATTCTTCCAGCTACTCCACATTACCTGGAGGAGAAAATAGTCGCTTTCCTTCTTTACAAAACAGCAGGTATCAGAGGCAGGAATTAGTGGTAAAAATGTTAGTTTACAGAAAAAACAGTTTTCAATGGTGTGAATAGAACATGTAACTTTATTACTTTATTTTGAGGAGAATATGGATGCCTTTGGCGTGCTATTATTTTCCCTGCAGTCTGTTGGCTTTTCGATCACTCTTATAGCAACTCTGAAGTAAAAGCAGCAGGGTTTTTTTTTTATTCCATTTAAATGCAGAGGAGCATTCAGAACAACACACTTCTAAAGTTCCTACCAGTCAGCAAAAAAAGTATTCAGGCTTTTTTAATTTGGCCGTATCAAAGTTCTTCTGCTGAGGAATCCACACCTACGAACTCGGCATTACCATTCTCATTTAAAATGCTTTTTTCTGAGCACTTCAAACAGAAGACAAGTCATATGCACAAGAAATGAAGCTACATTAGCCTTTTAACAATTATAGATGAAAAAGGGGGTTGCCTTGTTAATTTCTAAAGAGCTTACATGGAATTTAGTAATGATGATGACTTTACATAAAAGAATAACTAAGGTATGACCTCCAGCAAGGGTGATCAGGCACTGGAACAGGCTCCTCCGGAGGCGGTGATGGTCTCTGTCTTGGAGATACTGGAAAGCCAAGGCACGAGGCCTTGATTAACGTGTTCTAACTGACCCTGCTTTGCGCAGTGGGGCTGAATGGGAGACTTCCAGGTCCCTCTTCAACCTCAACTGCTCTACAAATCTATGACTTTTTTGGTATTGCCTGAGCAAAGGTTAAAACTAGTTTTCATCATCAAGTAGCAAGTTTGCTGTCTTCAGTTCAGAGGCAACTACAAAAACACCCTAAAATCCTTTAGTAATCCAATTACTACCTCATTCCAGTTGCAATTGCCACAGTGTATTCACACCAGTTTCCTACTAAGCCTGAATTTTGAAGATGCAGAGGACTTTCCTCAGTCAGGATAGCTTTTATTTCTTACTAGAGTTCGTGTCAAAGCATTCCGAACACTGATATTTATTCTCTTGTAAGAGAAAAAATAAAACAGCTCAGTTGTGAGCATGGTTGCCAGGGACACATTAGTTAAAACTGATTATATATTGACCTGGAATGCATCCAGCCATCGCTAGCAAGTTAACATTCATGTAACAAGTATGTGGAGACAAACTAAAGGCCACTGAAAGTTCAGACTGAAGCCAGAATTCTTGCTGTAATTTTAAGGCATTTTCTGTCTCAAAGGTACTACACTGCAAGAAGAGAAGAAAGCCTATCCACATGATTCATGGAGATCTCGGAGTCTTTGTAAGCTGCAGTGTTCACTGCTACGTTGACAAACTTTGCACAGTTCAATCTTTCCATGGAAAGCAACCAGCATTGTTCTAAGACCCAGGTACACTGAAGATAATAGGTGACGAGAGCAGCTAGACAAGTTTTAATTATAAGACACACACTTAATAACAATTTCTTTTTTATTTAAAAAAAGTTGCAGAGCCAGCAAAGCCAGCTAATGTGAACAGATCTTTTTTCTTCTAACAGGGATGCCTGCAAACACATGAAACCGAACAAAACCTGAACAGCTTACACGAAAAAATAAAAAATAAAAATCAGTCTTTTTTAATTTTATTAAGCTAACCTCAGTAAGAACGGTTACTGACTAATGCAGATAGCACTGAAGTTTTTGTCTGAACCGTTTGCGTGGTTGGTCAACCAGCACTTACAATTTCATTTGATGCAAAGTCAGGAGACAGGGAATTAAAGCAAACAAGAAAAAAAAAAAAGGAAAAAGAAAAGAAAAAGCATTAGAAATTCATGCTTTTATACCTTGCTGTAAAATATCAATGTCCTCTGGAATTTCAGGGCTCTTCTCTGCCACGAGAAGTAGGCACAATACATTTCTCAAATCTTAACCATCAAGGTATTTCAACCCAGAGCTAAACACCCAAACTAGGTATTATTTATAACCGTTGATGGAAACCGTTTCTTCTTCAACTTCTAGCCATTAAAAACTTAAAAACAACTGTCAATACTGTCAAATCTAGAATGGTTTATTCTAGAGCATCTCTTCCTCCTTTACAGCAAGCTCAGCTTTACTTTTCTGGGACCAATCGGCCTATCATTCAATTCGTTAATAGCAGCCATCGCTTCCTCATAGTTTGTCATCGCCACAATGGCATCACCCGAAGGCAACCCTTGTTCGTTATACTGCACGGAAACCGACTCCGGTATGACTCTGTAGCCATAGAAAAAATCCAGAATCTCATTGGGAGTCGCTTTAAAAGGTAAATTTTTCAATCGAATAGGAACAACCCGGTCAGAACCACCACCACCACCACCACCACCACCACCACCACCGAAATTTGGGTCCGGCATAAATCTGCCTTCTGGAAAGTTTCCCATTTTGTTATTCCCAAACTCCATTCTGCCAAAGTGTTCGCTGTCACCACCAAAATCCACGAGGGGTGGCGGGCCTCTAAAATCCTTAGGAGGGCCCATGAAGTTCTCAGGGGGGTGCCTAAATTCTGAAGGATGCCTGAAGTTCCCAGGGGGACCAAACGAGTGCATGGGTGGCCCTTGCGGTGGTCCAGGTGGGGAACCAACCGGACGGGAGAGCTCACCTCTGTCATACGCGTGCGAATGCCCCTGCATCTCGTTTGGGGCAGAGAACGGAACAGTGACACCAAACTTCTGCATCTGCTCTTCAGATATCAGTCTCAGCAACACCTCCGTTCCCAAGAACCTCCGACGATTTAAGTTTTCCGCTTTCATGGCTTGTTCTTCAGATTTAAACTTCACTAAGGCTTCTCCCAGCCCAGCTCCTTTGTCGTCATAGAGCAAGTAAATGTCATCTTCATCGATATCAAATCTCTCAAAGAACTTTTGCACTTCGACTTTTGTCACATCAAATGGAAAATTCCTCACATAAGCACACACCTTAGGGCCAGAATGACTTTCCCGGTAACTTTTTTCTGTCATGGCCTGGCCAGGAAGATCTCTTTCCTGAGATCTTCTCCTCTCGTAAGAATCAATTATTTTCAACATAGACTTTCTTGCAATTGGAAAAATGTAAACGGGACGATTGAGAAGAACCTTTCTATGGCACTCCAAAGCAGCCTGATAATCTCTCTCACTCCTTAACATCACAAAGGCATCTCTAGTCCTCCTCTGATGCTTGTCCGTTAGAAGCTTTATTTGTTTGCTGCCTATATCCAGATCAGGGAAAAAATCTCTCAGATCTCTCTTCTCCACGTTAGTCGAAAGATTCCTTAAGTGTATGTAATATTCCTGGCTGGGGGGAGAACGAGAACGCGTTCTTTGTCTCCTTGGTGATCTCGAACGAGAATGCTTCCTTGCGTGCATGTAGCCCGAACCTCTCGGTGAGCGTTCTTTGAAGAAGTGATCCATCTCATTCGGCACGTCTACCCGCCCGCCGTACTCGATCCACCGTTCCTCCGTGGTCGGACTGATTTCTATGAACCTCTGCCCCATGTACTGTCTGTGACGTTTCAGTCCCTCTAAGGCATCGCCAGGCGTGGCAAATTTTACCAAGCAATCACCGTTATTTAAACCGTTACGGTGCTTTATCAGAATCACCCCGTCCACGCGGATTCCGGAAAGGAACGCCCGCACCGCATCTTCTGTCGCAGAGTAGGGAATGCCACGCAGGAACAAGTACAGATCATCTGGGTTAAACGCGTGGGAATCCTTTCTCGACTGGTAGCTTGATTTAGGCATGCCTACATCACCGTGTCTCGTGCCATTGGCATGGAACCCAGCCTCCGGGTGATTTGGCGGACCGTAACCAGATTTATTTATTCCTTTCGTAATAGCCGCGACTAAATGCGAGATGTCTCCGACACCCGATGCACCAGAACCAGCACCTGCTCGTCTAGACCCAGACATTGTTTCTCGGCCCCCACGGTCAAATCGTTTCCGGCTCATTTCTATGGTGTTCTGCATCTCCGCCTTGCTGCTGAGAAAGAGCTCTACGCGGGAGTCCTTGATAAACCCTCCCGAACAGCTCATGGCACGCCGTGCGTCTTCATCTGTTGCAAATATAATAAAAGCCTCCCCAATTTCTCCTCCAATAATATGCACACCTCCATCGGGAATATTCAATCCCAAGAAGAAACGACGAATATCTGCAGGACCCGCAACAACAGGAAGCCCCTGCAAACGGATGACTACAGCCATGCTGAGCTCAACCCACAGCAAAAATCACCTGCAGACAAAAAGGTACACATGATAGCACGTCTTTAGTACTCAGCTGTTACAGTATCTTAACACTTAAGCCTTTTTAATGAATGCCCTTGTCTCAATCAAGAGAGAAGGCACGAAAAAACTCACACGTTCACAAGAATGGGATTAAAAGAAGATTCGCTGACAGTTGATTAGTCAGAACAATTAGCTACTCCACCTGCACACGTGCACAAGTCTATCAGTATTCCCTATCCTAAGGGCAACAAAATCCACCTCAGTCACTCCTCACCATCCACGGTACCCAAAGAACACCTAAAGTCTTTCGTGGCATTGTTGCTGGATGCCAGAGATCTCTGCCCAGTCCCGAGGAATAAAAAAAAAAAAAAATCCCGTTTGCTTTTGAACAGGACATTTGGGAACATAAACACCGAAAATGCTAGATGATAAAAGGAGAAAGGAAAAAGACTAATTGCGACACTGGGAAATGAAGCAATTCACCAACACTGATGACTTTACTGCTTTGACAAGTTGCTCTAACCAGTGATCGGTTCTGCTCAATACCGTACGTTCTCTCAGCGTTCAAAACTGTTGTCTCTTTCACGTAGTCAGAGTATTAATTGCAGCAGCCACATGCACTCAGGAGAGCATATCCTAGCTCCCAGCCACAAGACTGTGAGAAAAAAAAAGGCTGTGTACGATCTCGTCACAATACTCAGTGAGAAGTGTTAAGCTTTGGGCAGCTTACCTGTTTCTGCTTGGAAGACCTGATAAATTCTGTAAAATCAACTTAACTGTGGAAAGAAAATGAAACACAATTAATGGCTGATATCTGTACTTTGGTTTACAAACTGTGCTACATTGCTGCAGCTCATCCATAGCAGTGGCTAACATTAAAGCCAGGCATGTAATGAAACCACAATCTGGGATACAATGAAGAACTCCTTCCACGTTCCAACATGTTATGCACGGCATCCCTGTGTTGCCATTTTAGAAGCAAAGGAAATTCAAAAGTTAAGTTGACTTCTGCAAATGATGAAAACACGATGAGGTTATTTGGTCATCGACTGCGCCATACTGAACTGTTGAAATCAAACAGATTGACAGCGAATCGAGGGGAAAACCCTCAATTCTTTGAGTCCTTGAAAGACGTTCAAGTCCATCTCAAGATTACAGTAAGTGTCCATTCTTCCAAAATTCACCTGCTGTCAAAGCTCACACCAGGAGTACACTACTCACCAGTCCAGCACTGCACTTAACGTCCACAGTGAAGACTATCAAAAGAACAAAATTAGGCAGCAAGGAGAAACTACAGGGCAAAAGCAGAAGCTGTATTTTCCCTAAATGTGAACTGCCTTTCACAAGTAAGAACAACTATCGCTTCATCCGCTGACTTGACCACATCCAGATTTTCAACATGACCATCTGATGTCACACAACACAGAACTCTCAGAACAAAGACAAGCTCCCAGAACAACTAACTACATCCCTCTAAAAAAACAAAGAGTCCAAGGCCCTGATGACAAGTGTTTGGGAATATGCCCCGTACAAAACCCTTGCTCAATAACTGAAGCACTAGATCCTGATGCCAAGTTACCTATTGATCACAGTACTTAGTCACTCTGCGTAAGCCCAGCAAAACGAGAGCAAAGACCAAGTTCTGAGTCACTTCTACAACAAACCCAAACCAACTGCCTGTTTAATACCTGCACTGAAGACCATCAGCTCTCCGGGTGTTTTTGGGGAGTGTTGACCCCAGCCAGCACCCACATAGTTGACTCTACCCCATCCTCACCAGCAGGATAGGGAAGAAAATCAGAGGAAAGGCAAGAAAACTTGTGGGTGAAGGTAAAGAAATTTTAAGAGGTGAAGAAAAAAAGCAAAACAAAGGAAATCACTCACCACCTCCCAGGGGTGGACTGATTCCCAGCCTGCCTCCAAACAGCCACCTTAGAAGCCAAAAATACACTTCCCTCCACAGAAACCAGACAAAAACCTTCTTCTTCCTCTACCTCAGTTCGACGTTACATGGCACGGAACATTTCTTTGGTAAGTCTGGGTCAGCTGCCCTGGCTGCGTCCCCTCACAACCTCTTGCCTACTCCCTGCCTGCTGGCTGCAGTAGCTGAGTGGGGAAAAGAGAGCCCTGACGCTGGGCAAGGGCTGCGCAGCAATAGCCAAAACACTCGTGTGTTGTCAGCACTGTCCAGCCACCAATCCAAAACACAGCACCACAGCGGCTGCTACGAAGAAAGTTAGCTCCATCCCAGCCAGACCCTCTGCACCTTTTAATCTATCTTCTCAACAGATGTGATGGCCATGCCAAAAAAGCAAGGAGAGAATTCAAGGGCAGGATTTTCTTACAGGGCCTTCGTGTCTTGTGAAGTGAAATCCGCTGCCCTGCTACTTGATGATGCACTTTATCTGTAGTTGTTCTGAATTTCGCAATTGTGCATTCTCATCCCCATTTTTAAACAGCACTCAGAACAGATCTCCTCAGTACTTCTTCGGTGACAAACGGCAAGTTCTCCTCGATGTGCCAACATACAAACTCCTGAGTTTAAAACCAGGCACACTGATTCCAGATCCTAATGCGATATTCAAGAAATCCACAAACAGAAGCGTAAAACCAGGTAGTAAGCTTTTAGGAGCCATATATTAAACCAAAAAACGGTAGGAACTGCAGACAAGCCATCCAACTGTTAAACGAATCAACAGAATGAGTGGCCTTTAGGATGCACGTTCATGAACTGAGCTTCAGAGAACAAAGGTTTACGTAATGAACAGACTGGCAACCTCATGGCAAGTTTAAAAGCAGAGGTGTGCATGTTAAAGCTTTAAGAAATTCTGTGTTTGCCTCAGTTAGCCGGAAAGCAGCACTACACCTGTACCTCCACAGCCTCAGCGAACTCTGAACACCATTAGCGCTTCGCTCCAGAAACACCTCCCTCAAAAAACAGGTAAATAACTAAACAAACAAACACTTTACGCAAGTTAAGCCTGCACCGGACCAGCACTTTGAGCGCAACGCAGCGAGGCCAGAGCCGCTCGCATGCAGCGAACGGCGCCAGGAGGGGCACCCCCGGGGCGTAAAAGCGACCTAAGCGCCGGGTTTCACCAACACCCGGCGGTTCCCAGCAGGATTTATCCTTCCGTCTGCGGGGAGAGAAGGAGAGGGGAGAGGGAAGGAAAGGGGGGAGGGGGGGGGGGGGGCGCCGTGACAGAACTGCGAGGCCCGGCCGCCGCCGCCGCGCAGCGCTCCACGAGGGCCGGGCTGCCGTGAGGCGGCTGCGGGGAAGCCCGGCAGCCCTCAGGGAGCGGAGGCTGCCCGGGAAGCCGCTCAGCCGCCCCTCACGCCCTCCATCACCCACCGGCCGCGCCGCTAGGACAGGCTCCGCGCCCAGCCCCGCCGCCCGCAGCTCCCGCTACGGCTCCGCCAAGATGGCGCCCGCCGCCGACCGCCGCTTCCCCTCAGCCGGCGGAGGAGGAGGCCGAGTGCGCACGCGCGACCCCCGCGGCTCCTTCCGCCGCTTTGGCGGGAGCGGGCGGCGCTGAGGGGAGCCGCGCGGCGGGCCTGCGCATGCGCGTAGTGCCCGTCTGTCCGTCCCTCATCTCTTCTGGGGGGGGGGGTGTTAAGTAATACAATGGGTAAATAATAGCTGAGGGAAAAGGAAATAGGAAATACAATGCCTTGGTGGCTGAACAGTCCTCTTTTACAACTAAAAAACACACCTCCTGGTCAGAAATAGCCCCCTCCTCGCTGTGAGCCCGCTGGTCATGGAGCGTGCACAAGGAATTAAAGGGTCACAGTGTCCTTTAAAGAGAAAGCAATAAAGAATTAGCTGACACTTATAACATTATGCATAGTCATTATGCTCCCTTAACCACCAATTGTAGTAATTTTGTGTATAACTGGAAAGTATAAAAATGAATTTTCAGCGTCGAGAAGTGTGCTAGCTTTGTGTAGCTACCACCTAGCACACATCTCTACACAGATACATAAATATATAAATATATATATATATAAATACATATATATATAAATATATAAATATGTAGATATATAAATATATAAATATATAAATATGTAGATATATTGACCATTATCAGCTCGCTACACTGGATAAAGAACAACACTTTGGCTAGACAAAAATAAATCTTTATGGCAGATTCACCCTCTCGATCATCCGAGTGGCCCTTATCTATCTTTTCCAAGATTAACTTGAGCCTAAGAAGTTGAATTTGTGCCAGTGTTTTTGACAGAGCCATCCCCAGAGCAGTGTTGAAAGCAGACTGCCTGTTCTCTTCCAGAAATAAATTTCCTGATAGTAAAAATACACAGTGTAACTGAGACATCAGTGAGATGTAGTTGAGCAACTAGTATAACAAGGTCCTCCTGTCCTTTTGCTTTGAGTTTTGGGAAGCCAGTGTCCATTCTGTGTTAGAAAATCCCTAGAAAACAACAGGTGGCTGGCCACAAGCTGTGAAGCTGCCTTCTCCTTAGGAGCCAGCAGCTTGCTGGTGGTTGTAGGACTTTTGTGAAATCATTAACCCTTTGGATTAAAGGGCCTAAATGCAGTAATCACACGTCAAAAATAATATTATTTCTTTTAAAGGATTAAGATATTTGAGTCATAATTTTCGCACAGGAAGAAACTACTTTTTCTCTGGATTTTTTTTTTCTCTAAAACCAACTTTTATGGCACCATTGCCTGGGCATGTCTTGGTACAGAGGAAGCTGTCTGTCCTGACTAAAAACACTGGAGATGTTTTAAAAAAACACGTAACAATTGTGACGGGAAATACCTATGACAAGTGTTTGCTGTCCCTGGGAGGGGTGTTAGAGACCAAAACATAACAGGTTTCTGTTGTGGTTTAACCCCAGCAGGTAGCCAAGCACCACACAGGTGCTCTCACTCCCCTTGAAAAACCTCATGGGTTGAGATAAGCACAGGGAGGTTGCGCACCATCTACCACCACAGGCGACATGATTCAATATGGGGAAGAACAGTGTAATTTGTTGCCAATTAACAATACTAGGGCAGTAAGAATTGAAGCAAACTAAAACCACCTTCACCCCATCCACCCTCTTCCATCTCCTCCCCGCAAGGGCTGCAGGGGAACGGGGGCTGCGGTCAGTCTCTGCCTCTCCTTCACGGCGTGGGCTGCCCAAAAGCTCTTCAAGAACTGCTCCCAGATGGGTCTACACCACGGGGTCCATCCCCCAGGAGCAAACTGCTCCAGCACGGGTCCCCCACGGGTGGGGGCAGCTCCCCCCAGTCCCCCTGCTCCTGCGGGGGCTCTCCATGGGCCGCAGCCTCCTCCAGGCCACATCCCCCTGCTCCACCTGGGGGCTCTTCCACGGGTTGCAGCGTGGAGATCTGCTCCATGTGGGACCCCTGGGCTGCAGGGGGGCAGCCTGCCCACAGGGCTCCCGGTCCCTCCCTCCCTCCGTACGGGGGCGGCTCCGCCGTGAGGCTGCGCGGCCGCCGGTCGCCATGGCGCTGCCGCCGCTGCTGCTGCTGGTGGATGATGGTAGGCGGAGCCGCCGCCCGGCCTCGGCTTCTCGCTGCCCCTGCAGCGTCCCGCCGAGTGCGGCCGATCCCGGTACTTCGACGTGTCCCGCCTGGCCTGCGGGCCCTGCGGGCAGAACCAGGCGCCGAGCGCCGGCGGTGAGCGAGGCGGGGGGCGGCGGCGGCGGCCCCGGCAGCGGGACGGGGGGAGGCCGGGCAGGGACACGGCCCCCGGCACTCAGCACCTCCAGGGATGGGGCATCCACAGCTGCTCTGGGCAGCCTGTGCCAGGGCCTCACCGCCCTCTGAGGGAAGAACTTCTTCCCTATATCTAATCTAACTCCCCTCTTTCAGTTTAAAGCCATCCCCCCTTGCCCTATCCCTACACCCCCTGACGCAGAGTCCCTCCCCAGCTGTCCAGTAGCCCCCTTTAGGCACTGTCAGGCCTGATCCTAATACCTGACAGCCTCTTTCCTCAGGAGTGGTGGTGGTCAGATGCAGATGGCTCTCTCTGTAACTGCTGCCCACCACCAGCACGGTATCTTACAAAAGTAACTCCATACTTGCTGAAAAAATGCACTCTAATAGTTTTCAAACCCTTCATAATGAATGTGTTTAAATCCATAATGTTCTTTTAGCCTTGGCTCTTCCTTTAACTCCAAGGTTTCAAGGAAAGGTAAATTCCTGGGGGAGGTCAAGGATTCGAGCTTTTCCACAGCACCTGGCTGGAGCTGTGCAGGTAGATGCCACTCAGCCTGAGCCTTGAGTCTTGCCTGAAATCTGCTTGGGACTGCACGAGTCACAGAATCGTTAGGGTTGGAAAAGCCCTCCAAGCTCACCTGGTCCAACCATCCCCTACCACCAATGTCACTCACTGAGCCGTGTCCCCAAGCACCACGTCCAACCTCTCCTTGAGCACCCCCAGGGACGGTGACTCCACCACCTCCCTGGGCAACCCGTCCCAGTGCCTGGCTGCTCCTTCTGGGAAGAAATGTCTCCTCATTTCCAACCTGAACCTCCCCTGGCACAACTTGAGGCCATTTCCTCTAGTCCTATCACTAGTTACCTGTGAGAAGAGGCTGACCCCAGCTCCCCAAACCTTCCTTTCAGGTAGTTAGAGAGAGCAATAAGCTCCCCTGAGCTTCCTCCAGATCAAACAACCCCACTTCCCTCACCCTCCCTGGCCATGCGCTTCATGACAAGCTCATGGCTGTGGGTTCTTCCCTCAAGCAACAGCTCCTTACACCTCTTCTGTGATCTGATCCTACTGGGCTTTTCTTTTGGTATCGTTAAGAGCCAGTTTGGTGTCCCTTGACTCAATCCCTGACCATTTTCAGAAATGCCATTTCTGTAAAACTGGTCTGGTGAGGAAGCGTTAAGGTGCTTTAAGGTTAGAGAACTTTTCACAGAAGAGCTTAAGTAGTGATAAACATAGTTCATTAGTACTTAGAATCAATTTTATTTTGTAGTACAGGTTTTAAACATACAGTCCATGATAGCTGAGACTGAAAAATTTTAGGAAAAAATATTGTTGACCACCAACAGGTGCTGCTGAAAGTAGTGTTGAGTTTAATTTCATAGTAAATAATAGTCACTGTTCTGTTATTCATTGAAAAACCATTCAACAGAAAGCTTGATCCTCATGCAAAGTTTTACAGGCATTGAGTTTAAATTACCTTTAAAACTACATTTATATTTTGAAAAACTTTTACATACAAACATGTTTTTAAGACTGACTTCTTATTCAAATGATAAAAAATGAATACAGACATTTAATGTTGGTGGCGTAAAGGGACTGGCCTGAGAATAGCACTGTGGCAAGATTTATACAGATATTTCTATCTGTTATTAGATAGAGCTAAAGAAAAAATACAAAAACACAAGCTCTGTGGGTTCACCCTTGATGCCCCAGTGTATCAGCCAACCCAGTGACATTTTGTGGAAACCTTCCTACAAACGGTAACATGAACATTTTTTAAAAAGCTAGCTGATTTTCATACCATCTTACTCAGGTCTTTTAGTTGTGTATCTAAAAAAATATATTGATCTCTTGAGAACAATAACAGTTGTTCGTAGTATTCTGTGAAAAACAAAACAAAACATTTTTACATACATGTAGATTAAAACTGTTTTTGTTCTTGTTTTCAGGTAGTTCATGTGAATGTCAGCCAGGATTCAGGATGGTTTCTAATAATGGTGGGTCCTCTGTTGTTTGTGAGAAATGCCCAGAAAATATGGTAAGTATTGCACTTTTAATACTTTGCCATAATAATGTTGTTTGTTTTTTTTTTCAAATTTAAATTTCCATCTGAATGCAAGATGTTTTTCCTTAATTTTAAATTATTTTCCAAAATAGTCTTTGTTTGCGATTTTTTTAATTTCAGACCATGTTTATCTGTAGTATTTTTTTTCTCTTTGGAGCTGTTTATTACTATTATTTTGCAGGCATTTTTTCATAATAAATTTGACCCCACAGCCAAAGTTTATATTTTAAATGTTCAATATTTTGTTTGTTCAAATAAATGTTCAAATATTTATGTTTATATTTTAAAAGTTCAGTTTCCTTCTACTGCTTTTCTATTCTGCCTCATGTTATGTTACCCTTGCCCACTCTTTTACAGAATGCCAAAGTAGAAATGCAGCTCATAAGTATCTTATTTGATAAGTTATATAATTTCTATTATTGTAATACTTAATCTGTATCATCCTACTCCATGATACTTCATCTTTTTACTTTTAAATTAACTGCTGCTTTTATGTTATTTTTCTCCATATGCCTTTGTAGTTTGGTCAATTCTTTCTACCTGTCTTGGCAAATTAAGCTATAATTTTGAGCCACATTTGCAGCATTGAACCAGAGACACCAGACTTAACCAAGCATCTTTCTCCCTTTGCAGTAAATAAAAAAATAACATTTCTCCAGCAAAAACAACTTGTGAAAAAGCCTTCTGGAATATTTCCTTCTCTCCAATAATTGTACAAAAACTCTCAGGAGGCCAGTTT